GGAGACATGACATTTGTGTCATGTGCCTAATCGAAGCAATAGAAATATCTTAGTAATTACTCAGATAATGTAATCAGAAGTTTATATAGTTTATATAGTATAATAGTTTATGAGTCATAGTGATAGTCTTATAACAGATAGTCATGGTAATATAAATAGGAGTGACAAAAAGTGCAAAAGAAAAAAAAGATAAATTCGAACAATAATAACAATAATGTTAACTCTAACTTAATTTAGTAATAATAAATTATTCCTTTGATAGAAGCACAAAATGGTTGTGTGAGTATTAATTAAAGATTACTAAAAGTGGTAGTGTGGTAGATGTGCTTAAAAAGGAAGTTGGTAATTAACCCCCCTTCTAGAATAATGTCACCACGAGAGGATCGTTTTGGTAGTTACTAAAAGAGATATTGACTTGAACAATTGACGAAGAGTAATAAAGGAAAGAAGAAAGTTAATTATAGATTCAAGATCAGTTAAGTCAAATCCATGCCTCAAGTAGAGAAAAGAAGAATAACCTATCCCGATGTTATGCGAGTTTGACCTGCCCCAAGTGACAGACTTGCCATCTCAATGTCAACAATATATAAAGATTATATTTTTTGCATATATTTTTTGCTATATATAAATCAACTAGTTTAAATTTTAAACCACTTATTATTCAAAGATTCTGGTATAATAAAAAATTTAAAGATAAATTAAGATGGATAAAATTTTTTAAAAAAACTAAAAAAAAAAAGTTTACATACTTAAGAATATAAAAGAAAAGTTTGAAAAAAATAAAAAAAAGTTTATATACTTAAAATATAAAAGAAAAGCTTGAAAAAAATAAAAAAATATTTTAGAAACTTGTGCTTTTTTTTGAAGTTTTTAATCACTAAAAAAAAAATGTTTTTTTTACAAGTTCTTTTTTTAATAAAATATTCTTATCTTTAATTTTATATATAAATTTTTTTTATATTTACAGTGCTGGTCATAAATAATAGAAATTTTAATTTTCTAATTTTAAAAATTTTTTGTCCATGATTATTAATCTGCATCACTATAATTTTTTTTTTTTTAGCTTATATCTTCTCATTTATTAAAAATTTTTTTTTTATATATTTCATATTTCTATAATAGTAAGATTGTTATTAAAAATAAAAGATAATTCTTTTGCTTATCAAAGAAATGTTATTTAAGTGTTATGGCATATCAATAAATGAAATCCTATTTCTTTAATAAAAAAAACTAGTTTTTCTAAAATGATCATATATAACTATATAAAAAAAATAAATAAAAAATAATTTAAATCTCCTATTTCATTTAGAATAACTTCTTAAGTTGTCTTCTAAAGAACTCAATAATCTTAATAAACTTGTAAAAAAGAATCCAAAAATTTTTGTTAAAAAACTTGCATCTAAATTGAATACTAATAATTCAGACCTAAAAATATTAGTAAGAACTATTAACAATATGCTTACAAACTATAAGTGGATAGTTACAATATCTAAATAAGTCTTTCTTTTTATCAAAGAATATAAAAATCATCATTTAGAATGGGCAAAAGTTTATATTAATTAAAAATGGAATCGAATTATTTTTTCTGATGAATTTATTTTTCAGATATTTGTAATATAATTCAAGTTTATTACATGACTAATACAGAACAGCCATAACATTCTATGGTTAAACACCTATACAAAATTCACATGTAAAGTGTATTTTTAATAAAAGATATTATTAGTTTTTATATATTTATTCAAAATATGGATGAGGATTTATACCATTAAATTTTTACAGATAATCTTGCTAACATATAAACTATAATAAGTTATAGTTGAATCCTTCAATAGAATAATGGCTCTAAATATATAACAAGCAATTTTTAACTGATTCTTATATAAGGGTTTTAGATTAGTTATTAAACTTATTCAATCTAATTTTATCAAAAATCTATAGATAATTTTTTAAAAAAAAGTAGAAAAAAAATTAATAAAAAAGTGTAAGAAAAAAATCTATTATTTCTATCAAGTTTAAAGAATTAATTAGATTAGAATAGATGGGTTTTTAAAAAAATATACTGATTGAATTAGTAAAAAGCATATCTTATTATTTGAAAGAGTTGATAATTGAAAATGGATATAAAATAAATTATCAAAAAAAATTATATTAGCTAGTGTATTAGTTTGGTTATTTTATTTTATTTTTTTATATAATAAATATTTTTTTTTAAATAAATAAAAATAAATTTATAATTGATATTATTTATAACCATCATTATACTTGTAAAAATACAAAAAATTTATTTCAAAGAAAAAAAAAACAATAGGAAGAGATACAGATTTTTAAATAATAATATTATTAAGAAAAGTATATAGTGTTGGGGGTGATAACGGCAAGTCTGTCGCTACGTCACGATCGCCGATCGTGTAACGTCGAAAGAGGCGTGGAGATGTGGCACGAGGTAAGTGAAAGTGTTAGATATTAGTCTGAGTTTATGATAAAAGGACAATATTTTATTGTTGCTTTTTCTCTAATACATTCCCCTCTTTATATACATGTTAAGAAATCCCAAAAATCTCAAAAATCCCTAAAATCCCAAAAATCCCAAAAATCCCTCAAGCCCCAATTAAACCCTGATTGGGTGAGGATGACATATGTTGAATCTATCTAATTTTTCAGTCCCTCTTACAATAGACTTTATTATAAAAAAATATAATTTTTTTTTGAAATATTAGTTTTTTGGATTGACAAAAGAATTAATAGAAAAAGTTTTTTTTTTAATATAAATATAATAAATATTTGTTTAATTATAACATATATATAGTATAAAGTTAATAATTTGATTTTTAAATTAAATTTTAAATTATGAAAAAATTTATAATATAAAAAAATTAATTATACAAAAGTTTATTATATTAAATTATATTTTATATTTATTAGTAATTTGATTTTTAATTTGATTTTTTTACTTAATTAAATATTTAGAAATCTTAAATAACATTCGTTTTTTATTTGTTTTTTAAATGAATTTTGTTAATTTTGTTATTATTTATCTATAAATAATTTGTTATATAAATTTATTTAATTTTTTTAAAAAACGTTTTATATTTGTTTTAAATTTAATTATTTACATTATATTATTTTATTTATAAAATTTTTTAAAATAGCAAATTATAAAAAATTTGTTAAAAAAAGTTATTATTATTATTATTATTATTATCTATTATTATTTTTTTGATGAAATCTATATCAATAATAACTTAATTATTTTTTTGTATAAATAATCTTAAAATAAGTAAAAATGTTTTTATTATATTTAAATAGTTATCAAAAAAAATTTCTTTATATATTGAAATATAAATTATTTAAAATATTATTATAACTATACATATAATAATATTATCATATACATGTAAATGTAGAAGTAGATTATAAATTCATTTTTTTTCAATTATAAATCTTGTGAATTTTTGTTATATATAAAATTTATTAAAATTTGTAAATAAGTTAAATATAAAGCAAATAAAATAGAATTAAAGTTTGAAATAAACTTGTTAATCCAATTATTATACAATAGAATTTTATCAATTGATAAGAACTGTTTCTACCAATTTAATATTACTAGTTCTATTGTAATCAAATTAATTATTAAATGTATAATCATAACCATTAATTTTAAATTCTTAATAAAAATATTTACATAATTGTTTTACAGATAGTTATCTAGACTTGTAGATAAAGTTTACAATTTGAAATATGAACTATGGCAGTTTGTAAAAGCAATACTATTTGAAATTATATTGATGTTTTAAGAATTCTCAAGAAAATAAAAACATGCTACTAAAATATATACATACAATAATTATAATCAATAATGAAATATGATAAAATCTGATAAATAATGAATAAAGTTAATACCTCCTGCAACAATATACAATATACTTTTTATACCTGATATATTTAATATACATAGTATATTTCTTCTGTATTTTCCATTTACATACATAATCACTTTTATTCTTAACAATGTATTTATTTTTAATTATATAAAGCAAGGTCATACTATCAATTTTGTTCACAGTATAACAAAGAATCAACAGCCGGGATGTTTGGGATAATGATATAGTAATGAAGTATTTAAACACTAGCTCGCATAATAATTCTTTGGATACAATGACCCGATAACACGTCTTTGCATTGCAACTTGAAGTCATATTACACGCAATCTTTGTCTGGATGTTTATTGATCAGGCAATTTACGTTATTATCTCATTGCCTTGAACACATTCAACTCCTTGAGTGCTTTTTATATGAATAGGAAAACCAACACTTTAGTAGACAGAAAGATGGAAAGGAACCTATACAGGTAAAGAGTAATCAATCACTGTAATCAACAAGCCAGGAAAAACTCATGTTATCCTACATTATTATTGGGTCCAGTCACGAAAAAAGACAATAAGATTGACTTTGTCTAAGCGAAAATGTCCATTATATAAGGTTTAAGCACATTTCGATTGAATAATTTGTTGTTACTTTAAAAAATCGGGAAGTTTACTAACACTACAAACCAAAAATATTTTATTAATGCTATTTATATACATGTTATCATAGTTAACTATAATGCAATAGTATTGAACAATATAAATGTAGAAACTGATAATTAAAATATACTAATATATACAAACAACTCTGCAAATCTTCTTGATCAAATCGTGCAACGAGGACCTACTCGAATCTCACAGAAAGAAAATAATGTGAGTTATATTAGGTTGAATGTAACACGAGGATCAAAGAGTATGAATTCATTTTGCAAGTCTATAATTCGTGTTGCTAACAGATAAATAAGAAAAATGGGTTGAATTTATTTGGATTATTAATATTACTAAGGAAATAATCTTAAATAGATGTATATTACTTGTATTCGCAAAACTATGAATCATTAACCACAACCTCAGATTAAAAATTATATATGCCTCACACTATGTCAATTCAACACTAATAATGGTGCTGCCATATTATACACCTTGGTTTCTATCAACATGCTGTTCCCCATCATGTTTCTCCATGTTATCAACATCCTCCTCTTCATATTCTCCTTCGACTATATATTCTTGTTCATTTCCAACATCACCGACGAATTGTGGCTGAATAGTAGTGATGGGTGATTGATGTGAACTTGTTTCCACCTGTTTCGGGGTATTATTGGAAGAGGAGTCGGCAAAATAAACATTTTGCTGTGAATACTGAGATGATGGTGGTTGTTGTTTCTGATATGGTGATGGGGAACGTTCTCCTTGGTGATAATATTGCAATGAAGGTTTTGGAGGATAGTTCTTTTGTTCTTCCTTAACATAAGATGGCGGGGACTTCTCTTCGTAATTTTCGTAATACTCAAGTTCATTTTCCTTCATGTATTCCTCATCAATATCTAAATCTTTCACATCCACAGCCTCAATTTTAATCACCTTTTCACCATTGTTGGTAATCATCATCGAACTCACTCGTCTTCCTCGTTTTTCCTCCTCAACCATTTCCAAGTGTCCATCATAAACTTTGTCCAACAAATTTTTAACATCGGAACTTAACATTGGTTTAATAAGTTCAGTTGTTAACGCTGGATGTCCAAATCGAATGGACACCTTATCTCGCTTATCATTAGGACTTTCCATGTCTTCATTCATCAATTCCTCTTTTTCGGAAAGACTATCAGGAATGTAATATTGTATTTTTTCATCGAATGAATGACTACACATAATTTTTAGAAAGATGGTCATTATCGGTAATGGAATGACAGTCAGGGAATGGAAATGAACACCCTTTAAATTCATTGTTCCGATCATCACTATTTGCCAGAAGAAGATGGACACAATCATTCGATTGAATACCACACGCCAAAATGAACCACCAGTTTCGGTTTTTGTTGTAAACACATACCTAAAGAAAAATCAACAAGATTAACAAACAAATCCCTCATGTTTTAATGGAGAGTAAGGTATACGAGAAATACGTACATCAACTGGTACCTATAGGTTAAATATGCCAACTCAAAATACAAAAGACAAAAGAATAGAATTGCTGGTGCAATCACACTGTACATCATTCCGACCGTGAAGAAGAATAGGTGCAGATTATAGTACACCGCATAATCAAAGTTAGGAGGGCGCGAGAATTCCTTCATATTTCTCGGTGTTTCGGTGATAAAAAATCTTTTGATTTTTTTAATCACCAATGCGGCAAATTGTGCTAACTCTATAAAAGTTCCCGCGCCTCTCAATGAAATATAATTAATCCAAAAGGTTGACACACGAATTACTGAATTGGCGGTTTGCTCGAATAAATTTGAATTTTGAAAGACATGTAAGATATCGTCGATGTCCGCGTCGCCTTTATCAAGGATGGCCTTTATCTTTGTAACGATATCGAAAATAGTCGTTGATGCGGTGTAAATTATTATGTTATTTATGAGGAAGAATAGGTAAAGTTTTGCCAATGTGGATCGTTCCGAAGAACATTTTGAGTGTTTGCCTTGAAATCGTGAGAGTTGCCGTAAAATATAGGGTAATATTACAAAAAATATCGTCATGAGTAATGGGGTCATCCATGACTCTATTAGAGCAACTAGGACCCAATGATTTTCAACAATCTTGGCTAAGCCAGGCACGACTCTTACGATATTTGTCAATTGAGTGGTCATGCTCAAGAATGTTATAGGAACCAGCCAGAAAAAGCATAAGGCGATGAATAATGAGTAACCAATCAATTTTCTTGTTCCTATATTTAATGTTCAAATAGAAATTGATGAGAATGAATTAATTATTATAAAACTCGAAGGAATTTAATTCTTACCTTTGACAGCTCCGACAGACGGTAAGTTATCCCAAATAATATCCCTGGGCCAAGGTGCCAGCGTCAGCTTTGAAACCGCAAGGTTTCCCAAATTAAAGCCTCCATATTTTTTAGCCACGGCATGAGCATCTGAAACATTGTGAAATGAGACGAATCCATAGTTATTTGGCTTATTCGCCACCCGTTCTCGTGCTGTGTATATTTTTCGTTCGAGACTTTGAATTTTATCAGTATAATAGTTAATACTGTCCACTTTTGGACCGTGACAAATGCCAGGTGAGTGAGTCGGTCTATTTGGAGGGATGTTATTGGGATCTAGAAAAGAACAACTTTTAATAAAAGTGACATTGCGATATAATAATACAATAATGGATTTTTGAAAGGAATTCACGAAATGCTACCTTTGAAATATTTACATAAAACCTCTTCTAATTTTCTAACGGCGATATCGTGTTCCTCCACTAATTTCGGTAAATCTCCCACATTATGTCCAATGCACGCTTGTGAAATATGACAATTTAATTCCAACGACTCTATATAATTGCCCAATTCTTGATCTGATCGTATGGAAGGTGGTGCACCCAGAACTAATAGCGTTCGGGAATGCAGTGATTTCTGGTAATCATGTGACTTGAAATAGGCATGCTTAAGTTCCGCGTATTGGTTGTATTGGATATAGATGTAATAGTAAACTATTAATGAGAACACCCATGTGAAGATTACGTGTGCTGAGAACCATTTTTGCTGTTAGGAACAAAAGATCGAAAAAATGAGTAATGATTGATTGATTTATCTGTTATCCGAATTTTTGGTGAATCTCTAATTACCGATCTCAAGAACGAAATGCTGAGGTATTCTATTTTATTAGTGGTATCGGGAAAACCTCCTTGATCTTGATATGTTCCACAAACATTAATTGGCACGATTACACAAAATCCCAGCAGAAATAACCAAAAGAAGATATTTCTGCACATGGATATAAAGCGCAAAAACATTACGGCATCTAAACCGATTTTTTCTATTAGTAATGATTCAGGTGCCTTTAGTGCTGGTTGAATCCATGAAAATAGTCCTTTATCGATTTGCGGAAGTTTGTTTCTATTGTGATAGAGATGGGAGATTGGTTAAATAGTTGAATTGTGCGTGAGCGTTGATGATAAGTTGATGATGTCCCTACTTTTCTGAGACATATTTTTGTTTTGGCGCATATACGTCTAATATCAAAAGGATCAAGCGGAATTAACAATCAACGTCTGGGAAAAACCTTTATGATATATTGTAATGCGCGAATACTTACTCCCATTCCTAGGCCTCAGGAATCCAAATATTAACAATGTCCCGACTCCAATAGAAGTGTTCACAACGAACTGGATGAACATCCCTCTTAAAGAGATGGTCTGTATCGTCGGATTGTCTACTACTATGTTAGACATCTTTATTATTTATTAGTTTTAGGATTTGATGTTTGGTTAAAGAAGAATGCAATTCGTTAAGTATTTCTATTTCTTTCACCATGTAAGAGAACTTAAGGTTTAATTATCATTATATGATTCTCCTTCATATCATATGCTTCCTATAAGGAATTAAGTAAAGTTCGAATTATAGTCGGTAAAGAAAAGGTGGAGGGAGGGAAGGAAGTGGAACCTTTATTCTACAACGAGAATATGTTGAAGGAAGGGAAAGAAAAACAGTCAATGTTATTATTATAAGTGATTTGAATATGAAATACATGTGTTACACACTATGTAACGAAAATAAAATGTAAACAAACCAAGAATGCATTGATTTTATTAACGATTGCTTAGTGCAGATGTGAATTGTCAATTTTCTACATTATATAACGCAATGGTTTAATTATTAAGTGAAGAAATTCCTGAACTAAACTGTGGTATCACGAGTATCATCTGCATGAACATTTCTGTGTTGCAAATCTCTTAATTTTCAATCGGGCTTAGATATATGTACTACCCATATGGAGGAATTAATCGAACCTATCATAATATTAACCTTTATGTGTGTTCTCTTCATTGTTAATGGCTTTGATTTTTTTAGCAACCTGCTCGTTTTGTTATCTATGTATAGTCGAAATTCTTACGAAGTGATATCTTTTCTGCTGTAAAATTGAATTTACAGTATATTAAGTAGGAACACCGTGTAACAGTTTATTTATGGGGTTGATTGTCTTTTATTTAATTCATACATAAAAAAGGGCAAATATGGTATTGACAAAATGATCGCATACTCCACAGAGACCGCATATTACTTAATTTTAAAATAAACCTGTCCTCGAACTGGTTGGTGACAGTAAATTCTCGAACTTATTTAGGAAATGCTGCTCAAAATTCGTTAAGGAATATTCTGCAGCCAAACCCTTTGATAAAAACCAGTACAAAATCCTAAAATTGGTGACTAAATTAACGGTTATTGCAGTCAATAATTACCACTTAATGTATGTAGTAACCAAAATTGATGGTTATTGATGCTAAAATTATTTTGGTAAAATCAGTTATTATACTGTATATGGTTTCTTTCTTCGATATCCGGAGATCCCAAAACGGCCTAAAGTCATGACCGACTTATCGTACTTTATGAATCAAATATAGCACAAAATCATCCGATGCATAATAAATGATTTTAATTATTGGATATTCGGTTCAATTTCTATCTCATATAAAACATTATCTATACATATATCTATTTTGAGTTCACTTATACACGCATACACGATAACCAATACTGTATTATTTTAATCGCGTTGTTATTATACAGTATTTGGTGTATGTGCATACAACTCAACAATTAGAATCGACTCGTCACTCGTCACTATGGTTATACATAAAATTCAAGCCAACCTTAATCATATGAAATCAAGATTTAATATAACGTAGAACAATAATACAGTTGAATGTTCTTTAAATCTTTTTTAAATTTTATTCTTTTTTTTTTATAGTGAATATATATTATAAATTTGAATATATGCTTTAACATAGATTATAAAAACAAATGATTTTTTATTGTATGATAAATAAAAGAAGTTTACTTAAGTGTTGCATATAAAAATATTTTATAATAAAAATTGGTAAAAATTCTTTTTTCGAATATAAAATTTTTTAAATATAAAAATTAAGAGTAAATCATAATAACACAGTTTAATATAAAAATAGATTCTATTAAAAAATTTTCTATTTTAGCTATATTATTTAAATTTTATGAGTATTGAAATTATGTAAACGTAAAAGAATTTAATTTTAGAAAATTCTACTGTATTTTAAGCTCAAAAATCAAAAAATATAATGAAATAAAATTGTGTTGCAATTACCGTATATAATTAGATATCTTGGTTATGAGCAAAAATTTAAAAAAATTTTATTATAAAATTTTATAATAGTTAATATAAATATTATCCACATGTTTCTTTTTCTAATATTTTTTCATAAAATTCTTTTTTTAAAAATAGAATGATTATTTCATTGTAAAAAATAATAATATACTTATCTACAAAATTTCGATTTTTTGCAAAATAATGAATTAATTATAACTTTGATATTAATGAAAAAAAAAAATTGAATAAACACAAGCCATTTTTATTATTTCCAAAATATAATTCACACTGTATATGGTACCTATACATTTTCTCAAACTCGATTTGTGATCTTTTTCACGTATTAATAAAAAAACTACGAGATTTCCAGGACTGTGACCACAGGTCACGATCCCAAAGCTAAGCATTTTTTTATGGCATTAATATACTGGAATCCGGAAAATTTTTTTCTCAATTCATCCATTCGTGCTACACTTTTCATACTTTTTTAATCGCAAAATTATGTCGACTAATGTTGCAACTGACTCTACAAGTGTTTCTCTTCTGAAGGTTGAGGAAGTAAAGAAATTGAATGATATTGAATAGTGGACAACTTGACGTATATTTTAAAAGGATACTGAAGGATACTGAGAATATTAATAAACACGCAAATACTATCACTGTAGATCAAGAAGTAGATGGTTTAAATTTTTTGATTTTACCGTAGATTTTGAAAAATGGAGAATAACAGGTGGTCCAACTAAAGACGATTAATGAAATTAAAGGTGGTAAGCAAGCTTCGCGCTCTGTATTTTCCGAATACTTATTTATTCTTGTGCTTTTCTTTTTGCTTGTCGTCAAACTCTCCAAAATAACACATTCATGTTATCATAGAACACCCACTGCTAGTGAGTCGCAATAATTTTGGTCAACGCGAGTGAACGTGAAATGGCTGAATTTTTTCTTCCACTATAATTTTCAATGTTTCAAACTAAAATCTATTGATATATTTATGAAATATCGACTTAACTTCTTTCTTTCCCGCTGCGTTTTGTAGAGCATCCTACAGAGAAACGTCGAATAGAACGGGACTGGAAGTCATACACTGGCTCCGTAGAATCATCATCCCAAATAATTGACATGCCTGAAATAACAAATTCATACCTGATTCGTGAATTTAGCTTCAAAACTGCCTTCAGAACCTTAATTTTAACCGATCAATTACCCTACCACATGTTGGCCAGGAACCTTAACACTTATTAAGGGAGGACATTGCTTGTTACTGAGCAGATGATTGACATGAGACAAAGCTTCAGCAGACAATGACCATTCTATCAAGCGTGTTCTTTCAGGCCCAATGGGTATTACCTATTTCCTTGCAGCTAAAGCTTATAATGAAGGATGGCTGATGCTAGATGCAGCTTAGCTAAGTTTAAACACGTCAGAAGAAACAGGAATGGTGATTTGCAAGTATTTCCTGATCTTTAAGGATTTTTTTACTGGCGCCGAGTTTGAACTAGTAAGGTTACCGGAAAAATTCCGGGAAATCTACTCAAACAAGTAGATTGCAAAACTCTCTCAATTATTGGTGAACATGGTGTGTTATTTGAAAGGATCCAGTACCTGAAAGACTTCATATTCTGAAACCTCTGATGAATGGACTGGACATTACAAAGCTGTGCTTGTAATCCTCACGGGAACTGTACATGCTAAATATGAGATAATATACGTGAAAATGATATGTATTTAATATGGGTACCCACTTTTGAATAAACAAAGCATTAAAGAAGAAATAAAGGTTACAATTACATGCCACGTAAGCTTTATGTACCTAGTTTATTATTAGTAAGTTCGATCCGAATACCAACGATGCAAACAACTTTTAAAAAGTTCTAAAATTTCAGAATGAACGGGTTGATCAGCTTCTGGTTATCGTTCAAAGCTATTATATTAGTCTCCAGAAAATAAAAAATCCGTTATTATAAGCCAGCAAACCAATCGTGCAGTTTGAGTGGACATTCTTAGATCTTGGGTTGATTTATCGGGGCATGAAGCACAAGGAAATTCATTACTTTCCTCTATGCCCGTCTGCCTGGAAAGCTCTGTTAAAAATGTATGAAAACCAACGTAATATTGGAAATTTGAATTGAGATCAATTTTAGGAAGTCTTATTTAATTTGCTTGTGTGCGAAACTAACACTACAGTACAATTCAATAAAATGGATCTCAACAATAATAGAAATATTGTTACGCTCCAGTTTTGTAACTATGCTGTAATCAGGCCTTCTGGCTTATCCCTTGGACGTGCGACTTTGACAGATATCCTCGATTCAATTATATACTCAGACCTATATTCATACAGTATGTCAGTTACTTCATAACACACAACAACAGACTATCAGCAAACATTAGAAACAATGTCTGCACAAGCATTTATCTCTCAAACGTAAATTAATGGAAGAAACCAGAACGAGATGATGGACCGGTCATAAGCTTTTTAGTGTCATAGGTAAAGAAAACTGATTTTACTTGGAAACTAAAAGAAAATATAACTAATACCCAAAAGTAACTTCGAAAATTTGAGGTAATGTGAACATTCTGTTGAATTGAAAATATATTTTTTAATAGTTATTGCAAAATATTTTGTATTTTTTTTTTATAATTGAATTTGTTAATTTTGATAAATCTAAAAAAACCTTTATTTTTTGTGATTTTAATGAATGTAACAAATAAGGGTTTTGTTAATGAAATTTTTAAAAATTCATCAATCTTTAAAAGAAAAATAATCAAGTTTTGAGTTTATGTTTTATTATTAAAAAATTAAAGGTCTATTAAATAACAAAATAACATTTGCTAATGGATTCTAATAAAATAAAATAATTATTATTATTATTAAAAAATTTATAAAATTTAATATTAATTATATTTTTGAACTTTCTTATTCTTATATTTTATAATTTTATACTATTGTTTTTTTGTATTTAAGTAATATATAATGGTTTTAAAAAAACTCAATATAATAAATAATAATAATAATTTAAAAATATTAAAAATAAAAATTTAAAAATAAAATTAACTAATATTTAAATATACATGTATGTATAATAAAGAGATATTAATAAGATATAAAGCTGTAAACAGTATTTATTAATTATATAAAAAAACTTATAGAAGCAATTTAAAGTTTAGTTATTTCACAATTAAAATATCTTGTTTCAAAAGTTATTTTAATCTGATAATTGATTTTTTATTAATTTTAATTTAAAAAAACAATATAAAAATTATTTTTTTATCTTATTCAATATAAGAATTTAAATATATTATAACAATTTAAATAATAAATTATATTTAAATAAAAAAAAATACTATAAAAAAAAATATAAGTTCAAAAACAAAAATTATTATTTTACTAACTCAAAAACAAAAATACAATTTAAATTATAAAAATAAAAAGTTTTTCTTTAAATAACTATCTCTATTATATAAATATTCTAATATATATATATAATAAAAAAATATTATTGATATATAAGTTTTATTAATTATAGTATATTAAAAACTCTTTCCGCTGATCCTTTTGCCAACCCAAAAAACAGATGTTCTCAAAAACTTTTTGTTTTTATGATAATAAAGTCTATACACTTTCCTTAACAACACTGGTTCCTTAACCAGCAAAGCGAG